AACAGATCTTTCTCATATTGCAATGATCGATTCTATTTCTTTCACATTAAGTACTGTACTAGTAAATATGTGAAATGACAAACTCACTTTGAAGGTTGGCTTTCATACACATCAGTATTAAGTTTAGATCAAAAGTTACCTCAAGGTGCATTTACTGTTAACATGACTCGATCAAACAGATTAGAGGAAAGAAGAGAAAAGATCGAACTGACAAAGAACTAATGAAGATGGTACAAAGGTGGGCGCCAAGATCCCGCTGGGATCTCTTGTTTGTATTACTGTTATCATTAATTTTTGACAGAATTTCAGGCTCCCTGTGCTTAAACTTAACTACCCAAATTTGTGAATAATTTTACCTCATCTACATCTGACACGTTGGACAACTATGTGACGGCGTATGTTTACGATAAAGCGTGAATGAGTGAAAGACAAATAAAGGGATGAAGATACAAAATTTAAACAGTAATGTTTTATTGAAAGAATCAATCCGGCTACACAAACAGTTAAATTATACTACATGTAACTTTATTCTCTCTTGTTTGCTAGGCCCATTACAAATATTTTCTTTACGGTAAGAGCGTAAATGTGTGGCCTATATCAAACCCGTGTGATTCTCGGAGAGTGTCGATTTTTGACAGATTCGGGCATGTTTCGTTAGGCGAGTTAGAAGGTACCGAACTACCACACATGGCTCATTTTTAAACAAATATCTATTCAAATTACATAGAAAATAAGTCTGTTATTTGAAACAAGTATTTGTTGAAGAAAAAATAAACAGTTATGCCATAGTAACCATGAACACAATAAAAGTCCAAACACGCACCGAGTTCTTCATGGTGGCAGCCATCTTGGATCGTTGATTAATCCCCGCAGTAAATAATTTATTTCGTTATTAACAATGAAATAAATGTTATCTATAGTATCTTACTTTTACTAAGTACATATAATTTTAACGATAATGACAGTAAAAATGTTGGAAAATCTACAGTTACATATATTTTTTATTAAAATCATCACTAATTTTAGAACCGATTGACGTACTGTTAGTAAAATACGGAATTGGATTATTTTTTCACGAATTATAAAGGTATAACTTTCGGGCAAAACAATGGCAACCAAATATCATATTGAGTGCTATAATATTTTTTCTGCTTAGTATAATCACGGAATTAGATAGCAATCTAATTCCGTTCCATAATAGAAGAGACCTTTCCCCTCCATCATTGTGATTGATCGGTTTGTAATCTATATTTAAACTTGATAAAAATAATCAATTAAGTATTCATTCTGAAGTGGATTCGATTCTGGTGTTTTGAAACAATCTACCCGATTTCCTTTTCAGTTTTGTCTTAATTAAATTAAGAGAATGCATAGAACTGTATGTATAATACACCATAAAACTTAAAAATAGAGCAGTATACATTGGAATTATATATGTACATGTATATAAAAACGTTCAACCACGGACTTAGATAGCATCTAATTCCGGGGTTCAAGCGAAGGTTGTTGCAAATAAATTAAATATTTTTGTCAGCTTTGGTGCTATGTTTAAGCATATCATTCAAAATATTTTGACTGATGTGTACTACAACGAATTTTGGCTTTCTGGGGCATTTTGCCGAAAATCATTAATTATCACACCACTGAAAAGCGGTTGCTTTTGCGGGTACCCTGCGCCTGGTCACATTAAAATCCGTTTAGTTTAACAGTCAAGTTACACTCGATGGGGAAAAGGGTACACTACCCTTGCAATACAATGTAAATTGAAGTTACCATATATTGTGTCAAGATTTAATGACATCGACAACAGTTCATGTAGGCGGAGTTATGATTCTTTTTTGCGAACGGGGCATGAAGTGTGCGACGTCATCAACAGTAAAACCAAGGCTTATGCAAATTTCAGGCGGATTCTTTTACGAGTAAACCGGTCATACGTCGATATGTTTTAAAAATAAAGTTTGTATCCGCTGCTAAGATTTGTGTACCAAATAGTCAAGAACCATCCACAGAAAACATTATAAATATAAGGAATAGTTTTCTCTGAGACTAGGTTATGAGATTATAAATCCAGTTGAGCACATGGAAATTAAGCAAACTGTTTACTTTGATTTTCTCTTTTTCAGCTAGAATTATCACTTTATAACCCGACTAGATTATATCAAGTTGTTCCTTATTTATTCGTTGGCTGTCCGCCAGAGACTCTAGCAGCTTAAATTCCCGAATGAATATCAACAAATTAAATTCATGTACAGTTGTTCAACAAAACATAATGAAGAAATACATGCATTAGGGGTTTAAATACTGCTGGTCAAATATCAGGGTCGTTGGGATAACTAAGTCAAAAGGTAAAGTTTCTGCTTTTAATCATCAAATGGCTGATCACGAAAAGTGGTACAGTTATGAATGAGGTATATATGATGAATAAGCATGCATAGGTTAAAGGTCGAAGGCCAAGGAAGCTATAGTCAACATCATTCACGCTAGTTTTAGGTATATAATTAGATATCTCCAATTCAGTTGTTTCAACTAGAAGATGGTTATAACTGTGAGATTGTATGACACCAGAGCCTGCAGGTCGTGTGCATTTATTCATCATTCCTAATTAAAGACTCTAAGCGGGACATTATTTGAACAAACATTGTATTAAAGTCGTGATTTGATATACAGAAAAAATACCGATTTTCTTTATGTTTTTCTACTATTTGATTAATGAATATTTTTTTCTCTCTATGATTTGATAGGGTTATGTGGTGATAAATCAAGTCGAGCACGAGAAAAATTGAATACGTTTTGCAGATGACGAGTTTGTATCTACTTATTTCCGGGTCCAAACTTCGACTGAAACTATTTCTATTTATAAATCAGGCATTTCCTTTTAAACTTTTCTTTAACTGATGATATTTCTGGAAACTTCGTAATTTCTATCGTAATGGAAAAATAATCAGAACTGTTTATATATCTAAAGCAGGCAATGAAAGTCCTTGCCAAGTCTCGCTAGAAAGGAAAATCAGAACACTAGGACGGTCCGTCCGGCCCTATGTCGTAGAGGCACGGTGTAGTCTAGTGGTAGGACGCCGGGCTCGTGACCTAGTGTTCGAAGTCACGGCACTGTGTTGTATCCTTGAGCAAGATACTTAACTCTGCTTCTTCCAGTCTACTCAGCTGTAAATGAGTACGTGGTTGGGCAGTGCTAGAATTGTTGAATGCTAGCTGTGAGCGCCGAAATGGCAGCACCGGCTGTATGCTCCCAATGGTGTTGAGAAAGATATTGCCTGGTTGCAAAGGCCCTATATTAACAGTTATGAAATGTACAGATAATCAAAGTCCTATATATACGATTTCATTGTTCTATGCGAAAACGACAGTGAAATAACACAACATCTGTTATTAGTTCAACACCTTTATTTCACCAGGAAACCCAGAACAATCTGACTTAATGGATATGGTCTGTGATGTAATGTAAAAATACTTAACACTTTCAAATACATTTCTGAAAACGACCCAATCAAAATATGTATTCGAATAAGAATCATCAATGAATTGACGAATTAAGTCACTAATGACTGAACGAATCGAGTCACCAATGACTGAACGAATTGAGTCACCAATGACTGAACGAATTGAGTCACCAATGACTGAACGAATTGAGTCAGCAATGACTGAACGAAGTGGGTCACCAATGACTGAACGAATTGGGTCACTAACGACTGAACGAATTGAGTCACCGATGACTGAACGAATTGGGTCACTAACGACTGAAGGAATTGAGTCACCAATGACTGAACGAATTGAGTCACCAATGACTGAACGAATTGAGTCACCAATGACTGAACGAATTGGGTTACCAATGACTGAACGAATTGGGTCACTAACGACTGAACGAATTGGGTCACTAACTATTGAGTCACTAACGACTGAACGAATTGAGATTTCCGAAGGCAGATTTCTTTCTTTCTGAATATTAAGTATGGCAATTCCGTGTTGATATCATGTTGAACCTGATAATTGGTATTTGTACATGTGGTTGGTGCTCATTGATCAAAGTTCAATTGAATCATGATTTTGAATACATGTACACGTTCATCAGCTTAAACAATGGAACATCTAATACATTTGGTTGATGATCACATAATTTATCAGCATACAATTTCCCACGTGTGTTTGCCTTGAAGGCAATGAGAACCCTTATAGCTGTAGCACAAACAGTGAATTAACAACCTGATAAAATTATTGCTTAACAAATGGACATCACAAGAGAACATCAGCTGGTATTAATTACCAATCCTATTGTAAAGCGCTATACTATTCTTCTTTTCTCAGATTTCCAAAGCATGAAAGCTTATAATAATAATCACTAAGAAAATCTTTATGAAGTGATCAAAATTACGAAGAAATGATGAAACAGTTCATTTAAAATTGCATTTTCCATGATCAAGAGACAGGTTGATTCTGTCATGCATGGATTACAAAGAAAACACAAACAGTTAAAATTAAAATGACGATGACCTGTGATGACCTTCCATCTTACAAAGTTAGCCATTTTGACATTCCGCTCGACTCCATTAATTCTGAAAAGATACAGAGCAAATACTCAATATCACGTAGTGACAGACCATAAATAATCCTGTGAGGAGACGACTACAACAGATATCTTCTAAATCAACCTTTGAGCGAGACACATTTCTGAGCAAGTCAAGTTTTGATTAATCCCTACAACCATCAGTTCCCTACTAGTGTTCTATACGTGCATATCTTAATGAATGTAATGCTTTCGATATGCCATAGGTATATTTCTTAATCGTCTAATGGGAACTTCTTGTGCTATAAAACCGTATATGTTTTCACTGCCAATTTGTTATAGAAGGAAGATAAACTGTAACCTACCTTGTTTTACTTTCTCCAGCTTCGAGTTCAGTTCCCGCAAAACACTGAAGGTGACCCTTGGTCCATGTTTCTTCACATCAGACATACGGGGGACGACATATTCATTCATGCCAATCTCGAGATGTAAATCCGTGTCATGAAATGGGAGACAGATACTGGTTTGGACTTGCTCGCCTGGAAGGCGAAGGTCACACTGTTCAATCATGTTCTGCTTTGCGAAACATGGATCTGGATCGTCCATATCAAACACACAGAAATCCGCGTCAGAAAATGCTAAATCGAGAAAAAACATTTCATGTGTGTTAATAACACATTTTTTTCAGTTTATAATTCATTAGTACAAGAACAATATAAAATGATTGGATGATAACAAATTAAAGTATGCATTGTTGTAATATATAAATAAAGCCATTGATTCTTGAAACAGTTAATTTATATGTAGGTTTCTAAAAACCCATGCACAGTAACTTAGAGTATCAATATATACCTTGCACAGACGTCACATCATTGCAAGTGCCGTCGCTCCCACCATCGTCATTATCAATGTCGGAAATAACGACCTGATCATCAGACGAGGGTTCTGAAGCTGGTAGTTCATATGTTGTGTGCTTGATTGGTACTGCCCACCGACCAAACTCCAATATATCATTCCCGCTCTCTGTAGGTATAGGGTTGTCTTCCTTGCACATTAGAAACTCTACAAAAACAAAACTTCTTGGTAAGTACCAATCCATGAGATTTGATTTACATATGTTTTAAAACTATCTTATATAAGGTTTTATGCCATTTTATACAACAACCTCTTCTGTTGAGGGACCTGTGCTAGTTTAAGTTAATATAAAGGAGCAAAGTAAAGCAAAGCATCCAGGCACATACATACTATCACCTTAGCCGAAGGGGAAGATGTCGATGTACATCTAATGACAAATAAAATAATAATCATATACATCAGGTACTATAATATCTACCTTTGACAACATGCCCTTCTCTAATATCACTTAAGGTGGGTTCTTCCTCGATCAACTCGATACAGGACACATCTGACCTGGCGCTGTTCATGGCTTCAAATATCACCCGAGCCTCGTGGTCACTGATCAACAAATCTGTCGTTAACAGAAAATGACAAGATCTCAATGGGCAATCTATACTAAAAACATAGGAAGTGACCCATTGAAAACTTGTCTGCATATGTTAGTTGCATTTGTCACAGGGCTGACCAATGACATCACTCACAAAAGACACTACCAAGACATACTTCTTAAAACCATGCCAGGAGTTGCGAACTCAATAGTCACACAAAACGCAGTTTACATTCAAAGTAGATGGTCTACACAGACATATTAGCATCGCTCATGAAAATGATGGAAAGGAAGCAACCCTTGCATCGAACAAAGAAAGGCTTGAACGACTACAACTTTTCTAAAACAGGAGTCAGTGGCGAGTAAGTGACGAAATCAAATTCCTAATTATGAATTTACCTTTAGATGTATGTTCGTCTGCCTCAGCCAGCAGGATTGGAATCCGAATTGCATGTATGCTGTCAATGTCTTCATTAGACTGGGCAATCAAACGTTCAGCTTCCTCTTTATTGTTTTGCTCCTTAGATGACATGCGCATGTAATTAGCCACGAAATCTTCTTCCCAAATTTTATCCCTCCGTGCATACCCCACTAAGCTATCCGGAGAGGCTAGACCGTCTAAAAAACATAAAGAGCAACTGTGAAAGATTCTGAAGTAACTACATGGATTTGACGATCAATTGTTTTCAAATACTTATTTTTTATAACTGTGAGAATGATAACGTAATTGATTTTTTTAGTGCTGCAAATTTGACGACATAGGTGGTATAAGCGCCAGGATTATGACGAGCGTACATCCCATGAAGGAAGAGACTGTAAAATGATATGTATGTATTGAATTACCGTAAACAATGTATACGTGTTATCTCTCTATCTGCCTGTCTATACTACATGTACCTATACTACGTATTTGTCTATACAAAATATGAAGACGATGATGAGGATTATAAAATGCTAATAAAATATAAAGAAGATAAAGGTAATGTAAAATGCTACCTTACCATGTACAGAATCGTCTTCGCTGGCAGTGAAATAGGAGCTACACGATTCCTCGTTAGATGAGGTCTCTGAGGTAGACCAGCGAGGACTCACGTCTCTGTAGGACACATCCTGTGTATTCATTTCATCTCCCTCATGACTGAGAAATTCTAAAATTTTAGATGGTAATAATGAATTTAAGATACCACACATATGGCATACATGGAAACAAATCCTATCTCAATACGTCATTAAATGCGTTATCTTACATACTTCTCTAGTGTTAAGAAGTTACATTGTGTGCCAAAAGGCATTACACTTGTTCAAATGTTTAACGTAAAAAATAAAATCAGAAATACATAAAATATAAGTACCTTTCACCTCTGGACCATTCTGGGCGGAACTTATGCTTGCCACTTCTTCGCTTAAGTCGATGCATGAAATGTCAGAATCTAAATCATAGCCAGATCTAGCACTTTCTTTACCATTGTTCTCATGTCCGTAATAGGGCTTCGTTTGTTCACCATCCTTCGGCATGTATTCGCTCAGCAAGCATGGCTGCCATAGTTGTTTTCTTTGGGAAGAGCCAACCATACTTTCAGGTGAATTAAGAATCTCTACAAGGTAAAAACAAATATACAATCATTTAAGTTTTCATAGTTATCATATATATTTGTCAGTTGTTGTCATTTGATTAAAAAAGTAATTTGTAAAACCCTTAATTAACTTTTATAAAAAGAAATGAAGTTGACACAATGATGACACTGAATCATTTCAGTAATTTTTATAAATAGTAACAGTGAACTTGGCATTAACATTGGCATGTAGTATCAAATTGCATCGTCAGTCGAAGAACTTTAACGATTTTATGTGAATGTATCGAAGTCCAAATGTATGTTCTGAAGGTATTTTAAATGAGTTACCTTGAACTGAATTTTCATCATCAGTGATTGAGTGTTCTGGATCCTTCCAAGCACCTACATAATTTGAAGCGTTGGTCCAATTAAGGAGTCTGACTATGTCCTCGTGTGATTCAGACAAGGAGGTAGACAACAACTGTCGTCTTTTGCAGGACAATGCGAGTTCGCTTGGGACGATCAATCGACCAGTGTCCATAACATCAACAGAAATCTCTGTTCTATTTGTGACGTTTTCTTCCACACCACATCTCGGTGATTCATTGGAGGTAAAACATGCTGTAAAATTGAATCAATTTAATATAACGTACTATTATTATTTACACAGAAGAACTCCATTTCATTCTTCAAAGTAACAAATACTCAACACATTTTCCAGCAAATGTTCAACAGCGAGTTCATGTATTGTTCCACATTTATCGTATGTGTTTTTATTAACGATGCTCAACATTACAGTTAACTTCTATCTAAAAAAGAACGTCGACTGCAAATTCCAAAATCCCGCTAACCGGTAAGCTGCTATACATGTGATTGTACTGTTTTGTCGGTAATACATGCATGAATCTGATGTGATTCATGTACTAACGTTTGAAAATACCAAGTTTTTCAGAAAGCAATAATAAAATCCCAACTTACTTTTCACAGCATGTTCTCTCCTGGTAGATCCCAGATTCGGTGTTTCCTCGTGCAGACTCAAATCTATACACGACACATCAGACCGTGCACTATCCATCGTGCAAGTTGGCATCGTCACAGGTATGGTGCACGTTTCTACAAATAGTAATGATTTCTGATTGCACTAATGGCATCGCAATGTAATTATAAGCTTTATATATGAGCATTGGTATTATGAATTTTGTATTTTTATGAAATTATTGAATCTTGTATATAATGTATGTGAAGTGGTGACTAAAGTGGTGTAAAAAATATTGGTGCATAAACTGGAACCTCTGTATACATTCGTGTTAAATACCACATTATTGATCTATACCTTTGACAATAGCATTATCCTCACCTTCCGACTCCGTATTCACATTGTCATATTGTTCTCCATCATTAGGGAACATCCAAGGAAAGTTGTTCTTGTCTAGTTGTACATCTTCAGCGTAAGATGGCGACGACAAGTTTGCCCCACTTTGTTTGGGTATAGTCTTTGGTCTCACAAGCTGGTCGGCGGGTTCGTGTTTGATAGGAACATGCAACGCGTTGTTGTCGCTGTCATCATTTCTACTAACCCCCAATGCCGGTAAGCGTGGTTCATCGGAGGTATTGGGATGTTGTGGAAATTCTAAAAATTAAAATCAGTTACTGTAGTTTGACTCTATGAAATGATTTGAGTTTAAAAACTGATGAAAGACGGTGATAAGTAAGATCAAGACTTAGAAGAATATTACCTTGTTTGTTAGGAATACTCCTGCTGGCACACATATCTTTAATGATACTGGTCAGCCTCATACTAGTGTTGCACAACTCCACATAATAGCCATATCTTTCTTCCTCATCGTCAGTTGGCATAACTTGTACAGATTTATCAGTATTGATATCGGTTCCATCTACATCACGCACGCTCATTTGATGTACGTCCTCATCCAGGTTAGTTTGGGAAACTGACGACGAGAGCTTGATACTTAGGTTGAGCTTATTACTCCGCGTGCTTTTGTCACACATTTTAGTCCTCTCAAAAGGCGAGTGTTCTTCAAGGGAATGTTTGGTCGATTCTTCTAGTTCAGGAGCCGGTGCCTTATTATCATTTGTTGATGTAAGAGGGTCATCTGCTGAATCGCCACGAAAGAAATCTACAATGTATATATAACAAAAGAATGTTTAGCTAAGTATGGACAATGGCATGAATAAGTATTTTCGAACCACGACGTTAACAAACTATCAGAGTTAGTGTCATTTGGAGGAAAATCAACTTTCAATCTTATGCTTACCTTGCATGTAAGACATTTCCTCATTTGCACATAGCTTCTTTATCATATCACTCAAGTTCGATTTTCTGTCACTAAAATTTCTTGGATTATTGAAGCTTGTTTGCCTGTCTTTTGTGGCATTGGTATCATCTACATCATTTATAAACTCACTTTCCTCACTGTAGCACCCCTGATGATGTTGAACATCTGCAAAATGTTGTTTAGAATTACCACTGATGAGTGATAAAGGGTAAAACATGGCAAATCAAACTTCAGACAATGAGATCATTGAAGGAGCAAACGACAAACGCTTAGATGCAGATACTTGATAAAACCATTATATAGATATACAGATACACAGATTACATATGATGATTAAAAAATGAAAAAGTTATTATCTTACCTGCAGCAGACATGTTTTCATTTTCCATATGCTGACAACCATTTCCATCACTAAGGTCTATATAGGAAACATCAGAGTTTTGATCTTGATCAGAAAGAAGATCTGCAATGGCTTCCTTTGTTACTTTGACAAGGTTGACGTCAGATTCGGACACCAAATCCCCCAGGTTCAACCGTGGTACATCTCTCGGCCGGATGTGCCTCGAGGATACAATTTTGAAAGGTGTTGCGAATTTCAACGTCATGTCGGATGATGATGTGGACTGTTCACTGTCTGAATCATTTGAAGCATTCTTGTAGATATCTGAAAGGTAAAAGGAGAATACATACTACAGCTGAGTCTCGTTAATCAGGAGATCTTTTTTTAGGTTTTTGCTGATTAATTCATTAACCTTTTGAGCATAAACATAATCCAGTTTCAGAAAATCTCCGGAAAGAGACTTTTTCATAAACATAATGAATAACAATATCATATATTGCAATTAAATCATAAATGAAATAGGTACATTGATGTATTGTAAAAAGCTGCTTTCGAGTGTTTGTTGTATCATTCTAAGATGATACTTTATATTTGGAACGGCAATGACAAACTATAAAATGTTTTCCAACTTCACATTGATAAATATTTTGATAATTTAAAATTCCATTTTGTAATAACAAAAATGTCTATTGAACTAACCTCGTATCTCAACGTCCTCCACAGTGATGGATGCGTCCACAACATAGTTGGATACCAGATTAGATACACCATTCTGACGCACTGGCTGTGTCGGCTCATAGTCGGCAGATATTACATTTTCATGGTGCAATGATTTAAAGTCATCTGTAGGTTTTACTTCAAAATTCTCAGCGATATCAAATCCAACTATTGTTCCGGATTGAGACCGCTTTGGATGTACCATAACTAACATACTTTCCAGCTTCCTCGAGGAGTTCATGTTGATATCTTTATCGTCAGACAAGACACATTCGTCTTTTGACCTGTAATGCATGTTGATATATCCGTCTTGGGGTATGGCACCTTTGCCCGTTGATCTGGGGTTTATGGTAATCATGTCTCTGTTACCGAATAAGACATGTCTGTCCTCTGATCTGAAGGAGTTCATATTGACATCCCTGTCATCTGATAAGGCACTTGCGTCTGTTGACCAATGGCTATTCATAATAGGCATATCTATGTCATTGAAGACGACATTCTTGCATTTTGACCTGGATAATTTCATATTGGTATTCGTTTTGTCGCATGCGAAACTTTCATCCTTTATCCTAAAATTTGACTTTGCATGGGGCCCAACAACATGATGGTAACTTGCAGTTTCAGAATGTGTTACTTGGCACTTGCATCGAAAGCCATCTGTGTTTGCATGACAGCCTTTTGTTCGATCGCATTCTTGTAATCTGGTCTGAGGTTGGACGTCTTTAGTTGGAACAAAAATGGGTTTGTCATTTATTGAAAGACCCCGGATGTTGTTTGTTATTCCTTCAGTTGAACAGTGAATGTCGACATCCGAAACATGTTTCTGTTGATAACTTTCGTTCCTTTTCGGTAAAGGGTTTTCGACAAGAAAATTCCTCATTTCCGCTTCCAATTGATCGATTCTGGCAAATAAATCACTTGATTTACCAGAAATGTCTGCACGAGTAGCATGTCCACTGTCATGTGACGTAGTTGTATAGTTGTGACTCTTGCGTTGTTCGGCATATTTTGGGTATGCGCTACGTGATTTTGTCGGGCCGTATGCCTCTATTGATTTCACATCTTGTAGACACAACATGGATTTCAGTCTGACGTTCATCGACCTAAGTCTGTGGACTTCTTCATTGAAATCCTGGTGTAAATAAAATGTCTCATCAGTTCGATGAAGATTTGCAGCAATGTCCATGTTTTCTTGTCTCAGCTTGTCAATCTCAGTTCTGATTTCATATCTTATATCCATGTGACGTTTCTGTTGTGAAGGAAAATATCTTTACGCATATCGCTATGAAGTTAATTTCCATAATTTCCGTGGGAGATGGAAGGGAGATCTCTCGTTAAGTAAGACCAGGAAATCTCTCTTCCGATCCGCCACTAGTACATGTACAAAGCTATTCTTTAATGTGATTAGGTTTAAACATAAGCATTTTTCTGCTGCTTTTTTTTTACTTCGAGTATATCTTCGTTCTCTATTGTATAGTCTGATCAACATTTCAAGATATTTGTACAATGCTAAACTTTTTAATACCAACACATTTGCCGTGGAAAAAAAATGAAGATGTACCAAGAGAACATTTTAATTGTTAAATGATAACCTGCATGTAACATGCATATATTTATCCATGTAATCGATTATCTCATTCAGTCTGAAACTGAAACGTCGGTGGAGAGAGACATGTGTTATCTGTTTAAAATGTTGAAACTTTATCTGGGTAATGTAAATCTTCCAGAAAAAAAATGCAATAAAACGATATTAGGCCGTTTTTGTATTTGTATCTAGAAAAATATGAAACAAACTGATTGCTGAGGTTATACATGTACTTACAATATTGCAATCAATACGCTGTTTGAGTCCTTCGACCTCTAAGTCCAGTGGACTGTTATCATATCTTGGCTTCTTCTGAAGAATAGGCCGATCTGTAAATAAACTTGACACTAATTCCTCATACAGTATCAGGGCTACAACATCATCATCAGTTAAAATAAAATGTAACCTACAATGTTAATGAAATATCACAAAACTTTAATCTGATCAAAGCAAGCTCATCAGTGAAAGATCGATTATGACATAATATATTTGATCTTTGACTTATGAGCGTGGTTAACACCTTTGATCTATTGGGACATCCTATGACCATGGTAAACAACGCCCCCTCCGAAAATCATTAGTTTAAAAGATTTCAGGAACTAAATGTACACATTGCATGTTAAGAATGAATACTTTACTCTCATGAACTTTCCCATGTTGTCTGCTTTCTATTAATTGAAATACTTTTTCACTCGGACCGAAGATTTTCACTTAAGATTTGAAGATCCATCCTGCCTTCACTGATTGCGGAGTCTGGCTTTATTCGGCTCAAAAAGAATACATATAACAATATAACTCTTTAAAACAGAGGTAATGTTTACTTACCCTTGTTGATAAGTCTTCCGTAAAGAATTTTTGTTGGTTTGTCTAGTGGCATTTTCTTTATTTAAGTTGCTTATTAATTTATAATCTCCCTCGTAAAAAAGTCCGGCAATACTCACTGCGTGAGCTGCTAAACTACCAGCGTTGCTATGATACAAAAGCCATATCCGGTCACGTGATAACAATTCTCGCGACAGTTGGCGCCAAAGAGAAGCTAACTCGTGTTTCATATTTTTTGTACATGTTTTGATAAGTGCTTTTGATATTTCAGACCTATTCTATCAACTTTTGTTACATAGAACAAACCTAAAAGATCACATTTAGTCCAGTATATTATATGGTTATTACAATTATTTACCGAAATGCATTCAAAAGTTTTCAAATCAATTTTCATTATTTGTTAATTATTATTTTTATGCGTCATGAAAATACCGCATAAACAGTAACGATACGGTATATCAAGTTTGAATCAAATCGAATAGTCCGGGTTTTGCCGTCACCAGATTCCGTTTAAAGATTTATATGTAACTATACTGCGGAACTGTCATTTTTTGAAAGATGGCGCTCTCCATGAAGAGAACGATTTTGACAGTTGTTTTATTTGGTATGCTATCTGTTTTATTGTTGGATATGTCTGTCATATTGTCAATTGACAATGGGCTGTTGAAGTAAATTTAATTAACCCTTCTTCATTAATTGCAGGTGCAATATGTGTCGTATCCAGCCAGGTGCTAGAACTCGACGAAAGGTAAGATCGGACACCGGTACCCAGGGTAGATCAGCTGATTGTGTCCTCGGGCTATTAATTATACGGTCGTCGATCAACCAGCTGATTGATGACATTTGTGTGAACTCACCTACTTCTGAAGGATTGGTGCTGGTCACAACTCTAACATTTTAAAAGACAACTACTCCATTGCAATTTTTAGTTTTCATATCATTTCAATGTGTCGAGAGTTGTTTGGAAACAGACATTGTATGTGGTACTATTGATGAAGGGTGATATTAAACAAATTGGATCGAAATAAAAAAAGTGTTATTCTCAACTCCTTACTGATCTGTCAGACCAGAGCCCCTCCCAGTTTGTGCTCTCTGCCTTTTATATCTTATATCTTATATATCTCATTGACGGATAGAATACTGTATCTGGAACATGTGAAACACTGGTGATTAATACAATTTTAAATTATTAAGTAGAAAATAAACTTAACTTATTAAATTAAAATAAAATCTGCATTTTATATGATTGAGTTTCTGAAAGCACTGTAGTCTGTACTACCTGGTATGTTGTATATGAAGGTACATAATCCTGTTTTGTCAAACTTAGATAAGTCTATCACTTCTTTCCAGCTTGAGCAGATAATTCATTTTGTCTTAAATTTCATGGTATTTTATTCTCTTTTAAAATTGGACAATTGAAACTTTTTCCTGACTTCAATAAGTCAACACAGCTTGTTCTATCTACGCGTATTTGTATATAGGTATATAACGTAAAATTGTTAAATAGAACCGAGTATTGACCATGGTGCTAACTTTAGTATTCGAGTATAATCAAATATATCTACTTTTTCCCTTTGAGTTAAATGCAGTTCTTCGATTACATTAGGTAAGCAATGTTTTTTGTAAGAAATATGTTATAATTTTTTAGGAAGATAATGTTGACATTATTTTTTCATTCAATTGTAGATTTTTAGATGTATATAAAGAAGTGCCATGGCTTGTTGAGGTAAGTACATGTATATAGTTGTATATTTTCATAATAGAACTGTTTCTTCTGATTGATAAAGTTGTTACAGTGTGGTCTAGTATATGGTGGTTCAGTAGAAAATGCACTTGCCTTCACCAATACCCTGTAAGTTTATGAAATTTTTCATAAAGGTTGTAAAATAAATATTAAGCAATTCAAAAAAGGATAGCTGTTCGTCATGTTTTGCAGTTGTAACTGCCCGAAGGTAACTTTTTAACTTTCTATTTTTATTTTTGTTTGCCGTAAACACAAAACTTGTATGAAGTTGGATGCAGCCAATTGATACCCTTTCATTTGTTATTACAGTTTTATGCGCCATGGTGCGGTCACTGTAAGAAGCTGGAACCGACTTTCCACCAGGTGTCTATGTCCCTCAGGAACACGCCAGTCAAGGTCGGCAAACTGGATTGTACCAGGTTCTCCAGCGTGGCTTCAGAGTTTAGTGTTAAAGGTTTTCCTACCATAAAGTTGTAAGTACTGGACATTAGTAGGATGCATATACAAACTATAATCAAGCTCAATAAATGTTTAAATTACATGGGGTTTTTTTTTGGTACCAAAAATCTTATCTGATTGCTGTGATAATTTATTACTCTACTTTAAATATCAGGTAATCTTTTTCATTTTGTTTCCTTTTGGTATCCTGTCCAACAATATTTTACTTAATACATTTTCAGTTATAATTGTAATTTTGAGTGACTCTCATTGACAGGCTGATCATTGACTGCACTACAGATTTTACAACTCTTGTTATCCTGTTGACCAGAAAAAGTTATATTTGTTGTAGATTTATCTATGACAGGGCATATTATGGTATGGCTTGATTTGGCTGGCTGAGTCTTAATATTTTCAAGAGCCTAAATGAAAGTCTTTTCTGCAGCATGATTTCCTTGATATTTCATAAAATCTCAAATAACCATACTAACTGACAAATTATATTTCAGTTTTAATGGAGAAAATATCTACACTCACAGAGGAGACAGGACAAAGGAAGACATTATGGAATTTGTTAATCGGGCCAAAGGGTAGGGAACAAATGTCTTCATTACATCACTGTAAACATATAAATGTAAGGTGCTACTAATGGATAACCAAATATGTTTACAAGAGCCTAGAAGGTTTATCCAATGAGTTGGGAATGAGGTAACATAGTGGTTTTAGGAGAAAGGTATTTTGTTTATAAAATTTCCAAAACGTTTAGTGCCAAATTTCAGAGTCAATGTGTGAAGTACTAGACTATGATAAACTATTTATGTTCAAAGTTGTTGTGAATATATATATTCTGATCAGACATTTGATTGTATGTGGTAGAATATATATATTCTGATCAGACATTGTATGTGGTAGAGTATATATATTCTGATCAGACATTGTATGTGGTAGAATATATATATTCTGATCAGACATTTGATTGTATGTGGTAGAATATATATATTCTGATCAGACATTGTTTGTGGTAGAGTATATATATTCTGATCAGACATTGTATGTGGTAGAGTATATATATTCTGATCAGACATTGGTATCAGTTTCCAAGGCTCCGTCATTTATTAGGTTAAAACTGAGCCTGTATTGCATTAAACTGTTCTCATTCTCAAGTATGGAATCTTTGCTCAGACCAACTTTCTTACAACGTGCTTAAATCAGGTGAGATGGCCAAAAGGTCAAGTGTAAATATTGGAAACGGTATTCAGCTTTTAGCCTTTCAAAAATTGTTTAAGAAAATGTTTTTTTTTAATTAATTTATCAACGGAACAAGGCATTCAGATTGATCACAGAATCTAAGTTTGAACAGGAGAACAATTTCATGAATATGGCTCCAACTCGAAATACTGGCTGTGATTAGTTATCCTAATTATTTTGTGTTTGTCTACATCTACAGGTGATTAATTACCTGTATTAATTTTGTGTTTGTCCACATCTACAGGTGATTAATGACCTGTATTAATTTTGTGTTTGTCTACATCTACAGGTGATTAATGACCTGTATTAACTTTGTGTTTGTCCACATCTACAGGTGATTAATTACCTGTATTAATTTTGTGTTTGTCCACATCTTCAGGTGATTAATGACCTCTATTAATTTTGTGTTTGTCTACATCTACAGGCGATTAATTACCTGTATTTATTTTTTGTTCGTCTACATCTACAGGCGATTAATCACCTGTATTAAGTTTGTGTTTGTCTACATCTACAGGCGATTAATGACCTGTATTGATTTTGTGTTTGTCCACATATACAGGTGATTAATTACCTGGATTAATTTTGTGTTTGTCCAAATCTACAGGTGATTAATTACCTATATTAAGTTTGTGTTTGTCTACATCTACAGGCGATTAATGACCTGTATTAACTCTGTGTTTGTCCACATCTACAGGTGATTAATTACCTGTATTAAGTTTGTGTTTGTCTACATCTACAGGTGATTAATTACCTGTATTTATTTTGTGTTCGTCTACATCTACAGGTGATTAATGACCTGTATTAATTTTGTGTTTGTCTACATCTACAGGTGATTAATTACCTGTATTTATTTTGTGTTCGTCTACATCTACAGGTGATTAATGACCTGTATTGATTTTGTGTTTGTCCACATCTACAGGTGATTAATTGCCTGTATTAATTTTGTGTGTGTCCCCATCTACAGGTGATTAATTACCTGTATTAATTTTGTGTTTGTCCACAGACCAGCAGTGCGTAATCTGGCTAGTAAAGGCAAGTTTGAGGAGGCCAAAAATCAACACAAAGACTCGGCTTTCTTCCTGTATCTTGGTCGACAGGATCCTGTGGATGACATGTTTGTAAGTCTTCATTACTTTACAGACACTTTACAAAGCATACCAGTGTAATATTTGTAGTAAAATATAACACTATTCTTGGAATGAAGAAAAATGATATTTTAGATATTTTTGCCAAATGATATCATTGCTATTATAAATGATGTTGCTATATTTTTTGAATTGCTGTTTGTTTACAGAGCAAGTACAGTAATGTAGCCGAACAGATGCTAATCCAGTCTTATTTCTACGCTGGTAACTCTGCTGTCCTTCCTCAGGTAGGTATACTTGTAAGGTACTTGGTATACTACATGTAGTTGTACTTCATTGTATTTGACCAAGCAGAAATGTAGTAACATAGGTAGTTTGTAACATAAACAAATTGCACAAGCTTTCCTAGTGTACTACATGGTGCAGTCTCATACTTCCCAAGCCTCTTTATTTGGATGGAGACTTGCAATTGTTCACCAACATTTTAAGCTCACATTATCGGAAATACTAATTTGTTTATATTGTGGTATAATTGTCCATCATCAGTCATCTAGTGGCCGGTATTAACTTTTCCTGTAAAAGACTACTCCTTAAGAACAGCTGAAGGTGTTTTGACTAAATTTGTGAAGGATTATTCCCTTTCCGATGGAATTCATTGCTATATTGATGAAGGTGTACCCTCCCCCCACTAGCAGGAATGGAGGGGCAAGGTCAAAAGAGGTTGCAGTTGCAGTTAGGCAATGTTAATCAAAATTAGCACAAAGTATTCTAAGTATGTCTCTTTGCCCTCGTATTGCTCTTGCTTAAAATGTATTTACTGAAATTAAAAAAAATAAAAAAAATCAACAATGACTTCCAATCAGAGTTTGAAATTCTGTACTCTTTGTTAAAAAATGGGTTCATGGAATTAGGTAGATTTTATTTTATGTAAATTTTTACAGATAAATTCTTACTTTATGGCAAATTGTGACTATGATACTTTTTTTTTTAAAATTTCATTTCTGATCTTTTCCAGCGAATAAAGCCAGCTGTGACCCCAACAGTACTAGCCTTTAAAGATCAGGAGGTAGTGGAATATAAAGGTAGGCTTGTTCACCTAATAATCTAACTTTAGCGTGGAGTTAAAATTTCTGTAGCCATCCAAAGGAAAAAGTGATTACAATGCAAGAGATCTAGATGTATTAAGGGTCCGCAAAGCCTGATTACTTAATAGAAATTATCTAAAAAATGTTACTTTTCATGAGAGTTTTTGGTACGTAGTGTTCCTTTTAATATCAGAATTGGTTGCTGTTATGTTGAATTTGTGGATTTATGTGGCAGGAAAATTGCAGAAATAACACTTACCCTAAATTTACATTGTATACAGTTATAAGGCGTCTGGGCAGAGATAGTTACAGTGACCAGGTGGCTTGATTGGTTATAATGTTAGTCTAAAGTTCAAATCCTGGTCTGACTGTGTTACATGTCACAGTAAATGAAGGTGACATTGTTTTCTAGCTCAAGATGGTATAGTGACAATGTCCAGTCTCCAGGACTGGATTAACTCTGAACGTTTCCCAGCATTCCCCCTGGTCACCGGGGCCAACATAAACGACATTGCAGAAAGTGGAAAGATCCTGGTCATGATGGCGTTTGATGATGAAAATACAGAAAGCAAAGCAGGAAGTGAAAGGTAAGTGAAACTTATATTTATTTTTTTCAGTGAATCTAAGTTAATTTAATTATGCAGTGGATGGTACAGTGATACACACTTACGTAGTGTGAAGACTGTAATCCCCATTTTGTATGTAAATCAGGAAACGCTTTTGTTCTGGATATATATTTTTTTTTTTCAGAATCTATGTAAGAAGGTTCAAATGTGAACAAAGTGTTGTGTTTGATTTGTGAGGTACACTTTGTATTTTAAGTTGATTTGTGAGGTAAACTTTGTATTTTAGTTTGATTAGTGAGGTAAACTTTGTATTTTAGTTTGATTTGTGAGGTAAACTTTGTATTTTAGTTTTATTTGTGAGGTACACTTTGTATTTTAATTTGATTTGTGAGGTACTCTTTGTATTTTAGTTTGATTCACAGAGATGTTGAATTGCTAACATCTGTGTGTCATTGTTACAACAGCCTTTCAATGCTGTACCCAACTAACATTCTCAGGACGTTTTCTCCACTAAAAACAACTCCAAGTCAATGACATTGTGGTAGTTGTCTCCCTTTGTACACAATTTTGATTGTCAAAAGATCCTGTTTGAAAACATTTTGTAGTATTTGCCTGTCTATCTGTCTGATGAATATTGGATATCATAGGTATATATATAATACAATTTGGTCATTTGTCAATTGCAAAGATCAGCAGATATTTTTAGGATGGCATTGGGCCAAAGATGTGAGTTTGTGATATTAAAAGAAACTTCCATTCTGTATTAATTTATTTTTCACTCTTTTACTCTTTCACTGATGTTTCTCAAATTGTCACATTTTCACAGTGATTATTCTTGCCTTGTTGCTGATGGGGACATTTAGCCCTTTGGCAAGTGGTATGGAGTCTTTAGTGTGTAATAGTGAGGCTGTTACCAGACAAATATATGTCATGTTTTAATCAGAGGGTAATGTTCAATTAAGTTTTCAATTAAAATAACAATACTAATAACTTTACATACTCGAATGTTAGACCTATTACATTTGCTTTCTTCCTCTTTTTCCTACACAGAGACGACACCTACGGAGTGTAAACTCTCGGTTAAAGTTTTATAATTTATGACATGTGACCCATGCATCTCTCCATTGCTGTTTGTGTGAAGAAAATTCAACCATATACCATTGTTGGTTCGTGTTCCATTATGTTTAAACGTAGTGCTTTTCATATATATTGTGTGCTGAGATTATATCTGGGCAGTTCAATTCAGACTTTCTGATTTTAGCTCGTGTTGCTCAGCAACACTGAGAGTCAGAGATACATGACAATTGCTCTGGTTGCTCAACATGAACTGTAAATAAGGGCAATATAAAATTTGCCTTATGCTTAGACAATAGAATGCTGAGTATTGTATTTCAGTCCTATTGACTTTCCACTTTGATAATTAGATAGCCATTTTACGGTCCTTGTTGCTAACTGCAGTAGTCAAAGTGTGGTTGAAGAGTCAGGGACATGGTCCAGGCAAGGTCACCCAGCAACTTAAATCTCTGTAATCAGATTGTCACCGGTACAGGAAATCTGAATATACTGTACTGTACCTTCATGACCTCTCAGCTGGCTATGTTTAGTAACTAAATGTGGTGAGATACTGTCACATCTGTGATAAATCTTAGCTTAAAAAGTCTAAATCATTTATCTTTCTTATGCTGTTTTTTTTGTGTGAATATAACTTTGATGTAAATACATCTATAATAATCTTTTCTAAGAGATCGTGATGGTAACATTACTGAAGTAATAAATCTCTGTTTTCATGTCTGCCTTGTAGAGATTAGTTAGATTATATTTGCAGCTCTACTGGAAGATAATTTCTAGTTTTGAGCAACACACAAGCATTCTGTAAGGAATATTGAAAAATATCCTGGTCCTATTATTTTTTCAAAATACATCTGACTTTGACGGAGAAGTTTGTTGGAATACGTTTTACTTTGATAGAAATTTGTACTGGAGCTAACCTGTTTTCTGTTCGTGTACTATTGTCGTTGATGTATATTGAGAAGGCTAAGTGCCAGAATGTTTTCCTTTTCATCTGTAGATTACATAACATATCCATCAAATGATAAATAGGTTCTTCTCTAATAGCTGTTTTTATCAAAGTTGTTTCTCATGGTTTTTAGTTATCCATAACTAATAATGCAGAAAAGAAATCTTTTCCCTTCCTCTGTAAGAGATTGATCATTTGATGGTGCATGGTTGTCATTGAATTAATGTACAGGACTGATACTGAAAACTAGAATTGGCTGTTCTGTTGACACCCACTCTTTGGTGTTATGTATAGAAATATGATCTGTATTTTTTAATCTGTTTGTAAGTTAAGATAATATTGCTGTACTTTGCCAATTCTTTTGGGTGATGCTCTGTACAAGAGACATATGATACTATCGAGATGTGGGATCAAACGTGACATAAACCGAATTTTTGTCAAACGTGACTGGCAATTTGTTACAGCACTGAGCGGGTGATTGGTAAGTCACTTCCCTTCTTTGTTGACAGCCATAACTTTGTGCTGCATTCATGAATTCAGAATTGAATTTTTCTTGCATGTTTTCTCCACCCACAAGACATGTTGTCGGACTAATGACAGACAATTGGACAGGACTAAAAACAAAACAGTTTTATAATGTGGTTAAGTGCATACGGAGGCTAGCTAAGTGCAGTGCTGAGCAGATAGCTGATATATACATACTTGCTGATTTTTCTCTTAAGGAGAAACACATGAGAGAATCTAAAATTGTCAAAAGCACTAGAATATTAGTGCGACATGCCATGGTATTAAATGTTTTCATTGCAATGCATTAATTGAATTTGAGCAAATGGCAAGATTTATGAAATTCTGCAGTTTTCAAAAATAAAAAAATAAGGGTGAAAAATCGTAATCTCCTTCAAAATTAGGGAGACAGGACAAGTATGAAAATGAATGTATGAATGATTTCAACACTTTGAGGCATCTTGTTTCTATTTCAATGTTATACGTTGGGATATAAGATCAGATATAGAAGGGGTAGATAAGTTACATTGATATACATCTGTCTTTGCAGAACACTTTTTTTAAAACATGACCAGCAGTATGAAAAAAAGGAATTTAAATTTGACAAAATGATTAGTATACACTAGCCATGATACGTTGATGTGTAATTGGGGTTTCATGAGTTTCTAAGGACAAACTCACTCTTACTGAAAATAGACGAGGGGTGGGGTTGGATGTCAGTTGGGGATGGGGTGTAAGGTCCTTATCTCAAAATCAAAAAGGTTATTTTTTTGAAAATTAGACACCGTGATACACTGTGGTATGTTGATGTACCATAGCAAAGCAATAAAGGTTTAGAAAGTTTCTGAGGTCAAGGTCACAATAACTGAAATTAGACCAGGAGGGTAAAGTAAGGAACACTGTGGGGCTTGGCCGACTGGTAAGTGTTGTACAGTAGTTAATATCAACATCAGAATTAGGGAACAAGGGTACTTCAGGTGAGGATTGGGGAACAAGGGTACTTTAGGTGAGGATTGGGGAACAAGTGTACTTTAGGTGAGGATTGGGGAATGTGATATTTTAGGTGAAGATTGGGGAACAAGTGTACTTTAGGTGAGGATTGGGGAACAAG